CTTGCAGCATGCAATTAACACGGGTTCATCAGATTCGAGACTTGGGCGTTAGCTATGACGATCAGTTCAATTTCGAATGTTATGCTAGAGAGTGCAAGCGGCGTACTCAATTTCAAACTACAGGGTGGTCCAAAATTATGAGGACCGCGTGCGCGCGCAGTCATATCCACTTTTTTCCGTATCGCTCCATTTTCATCTCGTTTTCTGTGCACTATTTGAGAGGGTACATTGTCTTCCTAATGAAACCAAGTTTTATGAAGTTCTTCGAAAACTAGTGAGATATCTACCACTTTAATATTCCGTCAAAACAGTGCGTCTGGCACGTTACTCTAGCGCAGCAGTACTAACTGATACGGAAGCCCTTATGATCACTATATGGTGACATCGGCGGACCTGCGAAGTTACTGTTACGCGGCGACCGAGGCTAATTATCAGATGTCAGAACTGACGGTCACCGTTAGCTCGACTTTCGTGCAGCAGCCAATCTGAAAAAATTGACTTGTGAAAACGAAAGCCAGACACTCTAGAAGAATCCCAAAATCTGTGGCGGGATTAGAAAGCCACACATAGTAGTCTACTTGGGACTTCTTACAGGACCGAGCACAAGAAGAATAAAGCTAAAATTCTCTAAAAAGCGATTTTTCGAGTTCGTTGCTTTCGAAGAATTGTTACAATGGAACCTTCCACCTGATAGCTCTAGATTTCTGTATTTCACACCCTGGATGCAAGCGCAAATAAATGCCCCACAAAAGTTTGATTCCCTGAAGAAGGCAGAGCAGAAGGCCTGGAAACATTTGGACACGCCTCAGTTGCGCACGCGCCATCCCCTTCATCTGAAGGCTCGTGTAACGGGGCAGGTGGCAGATCTCAATTCTATTCTGGAATTACTTTGAGGTAAGAGTTACAAATTCCCTGAAGTTGGTTTGTTCCATCAAGCTACTATGCGTTTTTAACGACACAATGTCTTGGTCCTCATAATTTTGGACCACCCTGTACATATTTAAAGCTTCCTAATTCGTGAACAGTCTTGCCTATTCCGACTATTTACACTGTATGTCAGACCTCTTCTGGAATACTGCACTCCCTTGTGGTCGCCGTACAAGAGAGGGCTAATTGAAGAAATTGAGAAAGTGCGGAAGAGCTTCACATACCGCTGCTTTAGGCGTAAGGGTATTTCAGCGCTGTCATACAAAGAACGCCTTTGTTTGCTTGGAGCTGACAGTCTAGAATTTCGGGTGGCGGATCTCTCTTTGATGTACAAACTTACAACAGATGAAATTAATCTAGAATTGAGCGATCTTTTCGAGATACCACCCACTACTTATACCAGAGGTCATGGAGTTCGTATACGACCCGAAAAGGCTAATACCAGTGTTAACGCCGGGACATTTCTAATCAGATCTTCTGCTTTTTGGAATAGCTTGAATCCCAGCTTCTTCAGATGGAAGCGATCATGCACTTTTTAGACGTGGCTGATCTCATTAAGGAGCAAGGAGATTTTCAGGCAAAATATCGACTGTGTAGTCGTGGACCAGCCAGTGGGCCTTTTTTGTTAGCACACATGATCAGTGTGGTGCCCCTCACCGATTCAATGATCAGCCATCGACTTGGATACGGCGGTTCTCTCGTACGTCAATCGACTCGATGGCGCAGTGCGGGTGATCGCTGCTGTCACCAGTGATTAGTAGTGTGGGTCCCGATCCCTCTCGCACTTAGAGTTTGCAGATATAGCAAATGAGTTCATTTCAACGGCTGCTCTCCCGCTGATCTCGTGCGTCTATCGAGTCGGTTTCATAAAGAGGTTTTCGTAGGTGGAAGTATTTCCGGTCACAAAATCATAGCAGTGACAACTATTATACATCAGCGCACACGACATCCCCTCACACTCCCAGACGATTGCATACTGTCTTGTAACCATAAATTCCGTGTTTTTCTTATCCCTGTTGTGGGGCATACTTTTTCTCAGTCGCTTTAATTTTTTTCGTCTCTTCTTTCCAACCCCTTAGCACCCGTATGCTGTCATCGCGTGGACTTCGGAGGGTTGGCGGACCTACTAAGTTGGTATTCGGAGTCGCATGTGAGCTAACGACTTGCAGTGTTGGCCGGCCACTGCCCTTCCCTCCGTTTCTTTCCACCATTTCCGCCTCCCCCTTTACCATCGCAGCTGATCCTAGTGCTTTTTGAATTTGTTATCAGTCATACGTATCATGTGAATCATTAATCTCAACCAATATCATCTTCTACATGTACATATTTATTTATTCACCTCCTACCTTTACTATTGTTTATTTTTGCTCAATTTTATTATTTTATTCATGTGCCTTAATTGTCAACAATAGCTAAATAAATAAATAAGTAAATAAATCTGCCCTTCTTTCTCCTTTGTTTCGCTTTAGTCATATAATATATTCAGATGTCAATTCGACCTAACTTATTTATCCATTCCTCCACTGTTGGATCAATTGCCATCAAATTTTCTACAAGAACAGAAACTAGGGAGAATGTCGACTGGCTCATGAAAGGCACGTTTCGCGCAGGGTGAATATCGGTCGAGGAAATCCTCGACAGGGGGGTCGTACCTGTCGGGCTGGGTCATGGGGGGTCGTACTCTTGGGGGTCAGTAACAGCAGTGGTATCGTGGTGCAGATAGGTAAGAGGGTATAGCGCAGCAGAAAATGAAAATATGAAAAAAAACATGATATTAAATTTTCTTTGCAGGTTCAGTCGCTCCATTCCTCCACCTTCATGAGAAGGGCGTATTTGAAGGCAGTACAAAGAATGAAAGTGCATCCCCGCAAAGAAGACTGCCACATGTGCGCACGCGCTGCAAAGGCACCTCCTCTGCCTATCGCTCGCTCCTTCTCCCTTAATACCTCGCTGAGAATGACACTGTTGTTAGGGACCCTGTCGCAAAAACGACAACCGTGAAGGAAAAGCCCTGGGCAAATGAAGTTGTTCTTCAGGTTGTAGGAGTTACGAAATGCGTTTACTACAATGCAGCTTCTGTCAACTGGTCATGATCATATGACACCTTCGAATCGATTCTGCAACTTCGAGTGAGGTCGGATGCATGGCCTATACTCAGACAAAATTCGATGATGACGATTGCCCCTTTTCCTATTGCTTATGTTGAATTTGGCTAGCCATTAAGCTTTTCAACAGTTACAATTGCAAGGTAGAGGGAGGAGCGACTTTTGACGCGAGAATTTCCTGAATAGGATCCTCGACGCAAGTATCTCCTCAACTAGGAAATAGAAGAAACTAAACAATCCGTCAGGGAAGCGCAAACCTTTCGCTTTCCAAAAATATCTTCTTTTCAGGACCTTACGACATTAGAGAGATATTGCTTTTGAAGTGGCAAAAACTAGCATGAAAATTTCAGCATCCTCGACGTTTACTCGACGAAATTTGAGAGACCCTATCTTTCTGCATGGAAGGCTTTCAGAGCAATTTCAATACTTCTTTAAACGCGAATCCAGCTCTATCTAACTCTACCTCAAGCTGCTTCAAAGGTTATGAAATGGAGGAATGCAACCTTTTCATCGAGGGTGTAGATTTCGACGGTTTTTTTTTCGGGATTTCAGCAAATCTGACCCAGTGACAATCGCGCCGCAGCTGCCGTTGAATCGGCCGTTGATTGATACACTCGGCTGTTTCGATATACTCAAGCAGGAATTAAGATTAAATCGCAACCCCGTGCCTTCAGGAATTTCTGTGCATTTCTGAACGAACCTGACTTTGAATTATTGCGTTCAAAAAAGAACACAGCCATGGTATCCAGTCCACGATCTGTAAAAGGAAGCAAAAGCGCCACCTAGACCACTCAAAGTGACAAGGCGCACCGATCTTCTAGGCGGGGTTTGCGCCCCGCCCTAACGGAAATTCTCGTTGTTAAGTGCTCCTGTTATAGAATAGGGTCTGGAGTTGAAGCAATACAGTGATGTTTTTGCAAGGATGCTCCGTCCTTGCAAAAGCGTGGGCGTAGCGCAAACTCCGCCCACACGATTGTCTCGCGATGTAATTTTAAGAATTTTTAGCATTTGTTTCGTGATATTGCATGCTGGTGTACCGATTACTGAGCTACTTTCATTTTGATCGCAATAATCTACACCGGTTCAATCGCGGAATGTGCCCTTAAGGTCACCTTGGGCCTCATTTGTATCACTTACTTGGGTTAAATATCACTCAAGGTGATCAGTAAACATTGTGAACCTCACTCTTTTAGTTTCTATTTCATTGAGTGAACCCTTCATTTATAAGCACATTTATTTCTACTTTCAATGAAAACAGCACAAAAATCGAAATGTACAAAAGACGACGAGAACAGAAACAGAGCGCACCAAGCCAACCGATCGACCAGCGCAATGCAAAGCTGGCTCAATGTGACCAGTTGGCCAGTCACTCAAAATCACACGCGACCAAACAAAAGACGACAAAGAACAATTGCTGAGCTCTGAGTGAACACACAGCTCAGTTACCGGTAATTATGCGCTTATTAGACACGACACCGCGACTCTTATATAGAAAAATAAAAACAGATCAAATACTAAATATATATCACTGAGAACGGGGGCCATGGGTCCCATGACGAGTCGACACGTGGGAAAAATCCCCGTGTGGGGAATACTGGAGTGGCGGCTCACATAAAAACGCTACAGTAAAAACGGCGAACGAACAGAAATGACAATTTGAACTAGACACATGGTATACGCGCGTGCGCATGTAACGGCGGCTATGGACGACTGTGCAGACGAGTTTTATCTCAATCGAAAGGAAGTAGGGGGACGCAACAATTGAGCAAGGCTTTCTGGATGTGTTAGAGAACACAAATCTAGGTTGGTTTCAAGAGACGAAGGACCGTGAGCAAAGGAAGGATAATGGTCGAATAGACGGATGTGCGCCAATAGCGATCGTATGCGGACTGGGATGAACCAGTTGCGACCGCTGAAATTCAGGAGCAGCCCAATGCGTCGTCAGACGTCAGCAGCGTCATGACAAGCCTATTCTTCTTTCAGCATCATCACACAGCCGCTTCCGTCGACGGTGGCACGTTGCTTCACTTTTTTGTCTTTCATCCGTCGATTCTGTAAGAAAATGAATTACTCAACTGGACAAATACTGGTGAATCATAGCTATTTCAGCAGCATAACTATGATATAGGTCTTATTATGGGAACCTAATTTGAATGTACGCTGCTTAAGGAGAGGCAGGGCGTCA